CATCAACCTGATGGATCGATCACAGCTGAGGAAAAGATTTGCATCACTCTTCTAAATGGCACAGCTGCAGTGACACATTAGGCCTTTAAATACAGCCCTTACATTGATACACAGCTAAAGGGTTGCCGTTTAGGTTTCAAACTAAACTGAAGCAAGTTGATGGAAGCAGCGGCACTCTGAATGAAGGTCAGTTCTCAGTGTGATACAGTGAAAGCAGACATCAATATTAAAAACACGAGAACAACTGAAAGTACAAAACACACCTCACACCCAAGATGCTCTCAGAGACTTTCATCTTGTGGGAGGCAAAGTGATCATAAAGGAGCTTGCAATGAAGGTACATTCCCCTCATAAAGGTCAGGAAGGAAGACAGACACACATCACAAGATGAAAAATGTTCCAAAGCTTCTACAGGTGAATGACGGGAAACCCAGCAGTTCAGGAAACATCCACACGTCCCTGCAAACCTTACGTTTAGATAAGATGGACAACCTGGCAAGACTCACTGGACCTCTGTAACCCCTTGTGCACAATCAACCAATGTGGGGAGACCAAAGTGTTACACCCTTTATTGAACAAGTGATACTGAGTGAAGTTGTCCTTCCATAGTAGGAAGATGGCATATGACTGTGTTACTTGTTAAGAATAAAATAAAGACTTGGAGTGTTTTGGCTGACTAGAATACCTCAAACTACACAACAAGGTGATGACTGTACGTCAAACTGATGAATGTCAGTCACTTCACTTTTCATTCAGTCTTGAATTAACTTTAACTTTTTCAAATTTTCTCCTCAACCTTTAACTTTTTTTATTCGACTAGCCAAGTGACCGCAATGCAGAACGTGGACGTGTTCGTGAACAGCTGGACGGTGGTCAATCAGAGAGGGTATTCCCACTCTTCACTGTTTTTGATTGGTTTAGACCGCAATATAGGCCAGGGAGAGATGTCCAGGGTTTGAAACTTTTTTTCCCCTTCCTCAAAAGATTGGGACTTCAAAATTTTGCTATATGTGCTATTGAGAAATCAGGTTGCATCTAGAGCCTTGCTCAAAGTGAGACTTCACTGTGTAGAGTGTTAAGAGGAAAAGTGTGAGACTCACACCAGATGGATTAGAACCAGCAACCTTGTATTTAAATGGAAAGCCATGAGTTTGACACATGAAGTCCTATAAAGTTGAAAGTTTCACTTTTAGGTTCAACCTGTCCTCCTCCCCACCCCGGGAGGAAATCCAGCATTGAGCAAGTGATACCTGCATAGGGATTAGTTTTATTGTTAGAAAAAAACAGAACATAATCTGTTTTTCAGTCTGCTGGGCAACATGGTCGAAGCAAACTACCTTTTCTGTCACAAATCCATAACTCTGCAGGATGTTCTCATCAGCCAATCAGAGACTATGAATCTTACCAGATTCTTGGTCTCCCACCATTCCCACCCTACTACCCCTGCTTCCCCATGTCCCTCAACGATTTTTTTTTCTCAAGCAAAAAGCACACACACACCCTGCCTAGCAGGAGACGTCGGGTTGGCAGATGAACAACGCTGTCATTTGTCAGCCGCATCCCAGAGGTAAAATAAGGAGATAGGCAGCACAAGTCTGCATCACTGTGTTTGTTTGAGCGAGTGTGTGTGTGTGTCAGCTTAATTGGGCGTAGCAGAGATGTTGCATGGAATGATCAAAAAATTGATCCAAAACTTTGCTAGATGATTCCTGGCTTGAACTTGAGGAGCACCGAAGGGGAGAGAGGTTTGAGCTGCAGCTGAGCAATGACGGAGAGAGATGCGGAGGAGACAAGGATACAAAGGAGACCCTGATTGTAGAGCAAACTGAACAGAGTTCACAGTCTCAGGCTGAATACATTTCAATGTATTTATAATCATACTCACTGTGGCGACCTAAACGAGCCAGTGGAGCTCGTGTGTGTGTGAATGTGTTATCACAGCGCGAGCTTTATTCTGTGGAGAGAAACTGCCGCTGTAAAGCCGCTCTGCATAAAGCAACACTGCCACCCAGTGGTGAGATGGTGCAATTGCTCTTTTCAGGTGACAAGCGTGTGGGGTTTTTTCTAACATGTGTCTCGTCAATATCCGTCTTAACAATAACGGCAGTTAGAAAATTAAGGGAAGACTTTTCAGGAAGAAATGAGGACAAATACCACATTTATCTTCAGTTTAAATGTCTGCAGCTATGCGGACTGAAACAGCAGGATTAAAACATGTTCTACGCATTTTGAAGGTGTTCTCCGTTCAACCCTCAGACATGGAGGGTTTCTATAACCGTTATAGTATAACGGTTAAAGTGAGAATGAACACAACCGTCAAAATAGGTGTCAGAGTTCAAACATGTCACCGTCAAAAGAGTCTATGAGGAGAGAATGAGAGAACACTCAGGCTGATTTTTCCTAAAAGTAGACTAAAAGATGCTTTAAAGAAGATCAAAGAAATCCTGTAGAAGAAAGTGTCTCGCTGCTGCTAGGCTAGCGCTAGCTATAGCGGATAGCAGCTGGGCTAGCTATGGCGACTGAGCTAGCTATGCTAGGCTAGTGCGTCTCTGTAAGAACATTTCTTCACTTCCTGTTTTCAGAGATAAATAAAAGAACATTTCATTGTAAAGAAGTATATTTTAAATCGTCCACGTTATATAGACATGAACTAGTGTGGAAAAAGAGACATTAAAAATGTTACAGTCTCACCGTTCTCTGCGGTTAGCGAGGCACCAACCTCAGCCATTATTCTGTGATTTCCTGTGACAGTCCCCTGAAGTGACAATCTAATTCAAGAAACTGATTAACAAACGTGAGCTATGGCGTTCATTAGCCTCATTATAGACTCATAACTCTGACTGAAACAGATGAGATGGTAGTAGCAGGGTTCAGGGTAACTGAGGTCCCTTACACAGGCAGGGTTTAGTTCTTCGATGTTGGCATCATGTTAATGAGCCCTCTTGAAGTCATTTAGACCAAGAACTTCTGCCTTGAGCTGCTAAAAAAATGTTCAGCCAACATGGGGACTCAAAGTGAAGATTATGAAAACGTGAATAGTACAGACGCAAAATGAATCTGCTAAATGGTGTTAAAAGATTTGTATTAGACTCACTGAGATGCATTTGTGTTCAACATAAAATCAGAAACATGTGCAAGGCTTCAAATAAACGCATTCATTTTTGTTTCCATGTGGCACATCCCAAAAGGAGAAATGAAGCAAATCTGCTTCATCATGCAGAAAGCGAAGGAAAAGAACATGAGGCACTGCCATTTTTCTTAACGCAAACATTTAGATTAACACACTAAAAATGCTTTGAGGGTAATTGTGGATCACTGAACTAACATGTGGTTGTGTAACCTCTGTTTTCAAATCTTTGTTGAAGGTCGTAGTATATTTTGCTAAAATATACTATGAAACAAACTTGATTAACTGATTGAAAGGTTGTTTTTCAGAAAAACATTCAAATTACAGTTATATTTTTGTGGCTGTAAAAGGAAGGATTTATCTCTACAGAATTATGTTTGCAGGCTGTACAGGATCCTGTGGTTTGGTTTATTTACACCGCTGCAAAAGTTAAACAGCATTAAATTAGTTTGGAGCCATAAATTGTTTCAACATGCCATAGGGGAGTTTTTTTTTTCTTATTTGCCAGAGACAATCAATTTCTGGATGAGGTTTCCAGTCATGCTACAGTGCTGAGGCCTTCCTGAGTCAGTGTAATGCTGAGTGGGAGGCGGTGAAGGTATATTGACACCTGGGTGTCTGCTTGACTAATGGGGCCACAGCTGAGTGTGGATGGCTTCTATCTGGCTTCCCATCCCATGCCGGGGAAGGTCATCACTCATACAGACGGAGAGAGAGAAAGACGAGGGAATGGAGGGGAAGATGGGCCATGAGTGTTCAGCGCTAGCGACGCAACACAAATGAGAACCCACAAAGATGAAGACAGGCGGTGGATGGAAAAGATTTTTTCTGCTTTTGCTTCATCACCACCAATAATTTGGTCGTAGTTAATTCATGGTTTAACTTGGAGGTCCATTAGCTTTTTTATATATATATTGAATCACTTTGGATTGGGTTGGTAGCTTCATTAAATATTAAAAGAATTATTTGGAAGCAGAATTTTGTCTCGGCTCAAGTTTACTTTATCTGATACAAAAAGTTGTTTGACAATGTCAAACATTTAAATGACAAAAAATAAATAAATAAATAAAAAAGCAGCCAATGTTTGAGTCTGGTTGCTACAGCCTACTGAAAGTGTTACACACGTAATTCTACAATACATTTTAAATGAATGTTTTATTATGCTGACACTGTGATTCACCGGAGCACAGGCTCAGCTCTGAACCGCCACTGTGACTTTGCCACAGGCGCAGCAGCTTTTTTATGTTGGACGGTTTTACTTCTTCTTCTTCGTTCTGGTTCAGCAGAAGGTGTAGTGGTCAGTCCCAAGGGTGTGTTTTAAAGTGTGCAGCACAGAGAAGAGCAAATATTATTCAGGTTGTAATTTAAAGTCAGGTCCTGACGCCACTCTGGGGGGAAAGGGAATGATTCAGCACAAACGGAGGCCTCAGGTAAATAAGTAATAAAAAAAAACTATCTACCGCCACGTTAGCAGCGGGATGCCATTCAAGTCTCGCGTTAAAGTGCTTCATACATTTACTAATCCTGAAACCTATCAGACTTCATTAGCTGAACAGCACAGGTCCAGTTTAATGATCTAGTTTTCATTTATTTTCCTTTCACAAATATTCACAGTGTGACATTATTCCTGCATTTTACAAAAATTGTATGAAGTTTCTTTCTTCAAAATTTCACACACACAAATACCCCATTATGACAATGTGAAAAAAAAAGTTTTTGAGTGTCGTGATTAGATTAGGGTTTGTCGTTTTTAAATCAGCACAAGAAAATATACTTACTTCTCTCTGTGTACAGCATGTATGCTTTGCAGTCTATAATTAGAGAGAAATCTCAGATCTTCTAAATGGATGCTCTCTGTAATCATCCGCAATCCTTAAAGGGGACTTTAGGGACTGCACTTTAAGTTTTTTTTTTCTCCGTGATTTTGGGAACTCAGGGGGAAATGAGCACATGAAAATTGAAATGTTGCATAACATGATTATTCCTAAAAAAATTATAATTAAAAAAGGGTTATATATAAAATAGATTTAATTTCAGACATAATTTATCCAGTAAAAACGTTTAAAACACGCGCCAACACGCAAAGTTTGATTCAAACAGCAAAGAGTTACAGATTCAGAGGAGAAGGTTTCAGATGAGCACATCCTCTGGTCAAAAAGCAAAACAGAATAAAACTATGTAAAAAAACCCAAAAAACGAGACCATGAAGCGGCCACCTCCAGAACCCTGGAGGGACACAATCCTACGTAGCCTGCCGCTTCCTCCTGAACGATAGGTCCAAATTTTTCAGTGCGTTCGACGTTCCTGGTCCGATCCAGGAGTCTGTGGTGACGGTTTCCTCGGAGCTCTCGCGGTTCAGGCTGAGAGGAGACGACTGAACAGGGGAGGACTCGTCGTCGGACCCGTCCAGAGGTTCTGCAGAGAGAAACAAGCCTTTTTAATGCCACCTTGAATGAAATTTAAGACCAAAATATCTGTAAATATAAGGGAGAATCCTGCTGTGTTACACAGTATATTGGTAGCGTTAACCTCCATAGCACCATAAAAGGTTTTTTTTGTTTTTTTAACAGAACAAACCTAGGCATCTATTGGTGGATGGTGAACACAAACATTAACACTAAGACGCATGATATATGCAAAAAGACTTTTTAAGGATGCGCAGACACCCTGCATCAGCTGACCTGTTCTGTTCCGGCTCCTGACCTCACTTCCTGCCTCCTGCAGGTTCAGCCTGCCACCTGAAGGGTCGGGGTAACTTCTCTGAACGGAAGCAGCTCCTTCCTGGAGGTTACAAGACCAGCAGAAAATTCAAGAAACGGACTGTAAAGCAAAGAGTCATACAGGTGCAGATAATGGTCACCTGGGGGCGCTGTGCCAGCTTGGCCAGTCTCCTCCTCTCCCTGGCTGACAGCTGGCGGATCCTGTCCTGCTCAGGAGTTGGGGGCACCGGAGAAGCCCCGCCCAGGGGGTCTGAACATAACAAGCAGGATCAGAAAAAATTCTGCACCAAAACTTTACAGGGTAAATATTAGCTTTGCAGACATGTTATTTGGGTGAGGTGTTGAATCGATTTTATCAATTTAATTGAATTTTTGGTTTTTGAAAAAGTTTAGTTTTTGTCATTTGTAATTTCTTTTTTCACTTTTTTTTTTTAAAGAAAGCAAGAAAAATTTTTTATAAAAATTGGAAATCACACCTGGTATGAAAAAAAATATATATTTCATGTATATTTAATTTCTCTTTAGGACTAATAACGTTTTGTAAAATGAACTGATATGGTTGATTGAGTCTATATGTGACAGTTTTGATAGCTAATGCTTCAGAAATAGACACTTAATACTGCTTAAGTATCAATTTTAAAATGAGAAAATTGCTGCAAACAAACACTAGAGACGGCATTCAGTAACAGTCTGCTGTATTGTCCTACCAATGAACGCGCTCTCTGACTCGAGCAGGAAACCTCTTCTGGATGCACCGCTCACACTCCTCTGTAACACACACAAACACACACCATTGGTCGGTCACAAGTCACCTCCAAAAATGCTACAAAATTTCACAATTTATTTTAAAAAGTGGGATTTCTTACCAGATAGTCATTTTGCTCAGGTGGCGACAGATCTAAATAATCTGGAAATGAAACATGTAGGTTAGATTTTCACCTTCAGACAAATTACTGGATTAAAGTTGAATGATGCGATTCTACTGCGGTGATTTTCGGAAGAGGTTAGGCCTCAATTATGTTCTCAGGAAATAATTGCAGAGGAAATGAAATCAGAATGTAGACGTTGATACCATCCTGGACTGTAGATCTGTGGCTGCTCTGGTGATCATAGGAGTCTCTATAGTCCCGCCTCCTCCTTCTGACCACGCCCACTTCCTCCAGTTTGTCCTCTCCAGAACCCGTCCTCGACTCTCTGTCTGCCTCAGACACACAGAACTGTGATTTGGGTTTCCACTAGGACAGCGGTGGGCACACTTCCACTAATGGTGCAGCACTTTAGCATTAGCTTCAACTAAATACCTTCAAGGTGAACCACTTTAGCATTTGCTTTTGCTAAATACCTGAATGGTGTAGCACTTTACCATTAGCTTCTCCTAAATACCTTAATGGGTAGCGCTTAAGCAGCAGCTTCAACTGAGTATGTTATTGTTTTAGCACTGTAGCACTAGTGGAACTAATGATTTTGGGTTTAGTGGAGCTACCGTTTTAGCTAGCGGTGCCCTTCACTGCCACACATCAGCCATGACCATGTAGTACCTGTGTATTTCAGCTGAAGAGAGTCATGGATACGCAGCAGATTTCTGGGCTCTGTGTTTCGGGAGTTTGGCCTTCGGACTGGAGCCTGGAGCCTGAGCCGAGCCATGTCGAACACGTCCACCGCTGGACACTCCCGATCTCTGGACAGATGAAGAGAAGTTGTCAATATTCAATTCCAGTTCAGTTCTATTATTCTGGAAATGTTGAGCAACTAAAAGGATATGCACACTAACTTTGTCTCTGTACAGAATGGTTAGTAAATGGTTATAAGGTCGTCAGAAAGACTTGAGACTTATGCAATGCATACCCAATCTTAGCATACAGAGTGTTAGCAGAACAAATGTCTATGATTTCCTCTTTTGGGTTAGTGCAGCTAAACTTTCTAGATAGCGGGACTCCCCCCACGTCTCCGTTTTCAGATGACTGAGTGAACATGCTTTGGTCTCGGCAGAAGAACCAGCGGCTCTGATTGGGTCTGACCTGATATTCACGGGCGAGTCCGGCTCCTCCCAGTTCCCCCGCTGCAAATCGCTCTCTAGGCGTTTCTGTTCACTGCGGAGCTGCCGACGCAAAGCAGACAGCTCATTGAACAGGTCGCGATGGTCTCCTGAAACCCAGAACATTTTATCTAATTAACTCATCTCAGTGCTGAGCCTGGATCTCTGGATAAAACCACACACTGAGCAGGAGTTTGAATAAAAGTAAGACAGTGGAGGCAGAATGAACCCAGCAAACAAACCAGGTCTCTGCTGGAGCTAAACGGGTTTTCAAAGGGTTACCGCACCTGCAGCTCTGAGCTGGTTCCTACGAGCGGGAACAGGAGGGGACTGAAGACCTGATGACAATTGCTCCTGTTAAAAAAAGAAATACAAAGTTAAAAATAAGAAAAACCCGTTTAACTCTTCTTCATAAAGGAAATGGTCCAATGTGTGTTACTCACAGACAGGGGAGAGGTGGAGGTGTAGGAGTGGACAGTGGCGGGTCGGGAGGCGTGCTGCAGGCGTCGCCCGTGTTTCCTCTGCAGGGTCGGGATAGGAGGAGAAGGCTCTCTGTGCATCTAAACACATTCAGATGAGAACTAGCCTTAACTCTGACTGACACGCTCAGAACGTCCACTGGATTACACGGGTACAGGGACTTCCAACTGCTTTAGGTTCATGTTGATGAGCTGAATCCAAAACCCACATTGGTTTTTCTCCATCAGGTCGACTTTCTGAACTATGGAGCAACATGAACATCAAAATTCATGTGGATCAGTTTCCTGACAATCTGGATCAATGAGTGACGAACAGGAGGAGAGACTCCATCAGGACAGAGGAGAGACAAAATGTTCAATTCACATGGACTGACCCTTATCAGTGTTTATTATTCAATTTACAGAAATCCAAGTTTTAACATTTAATTAATACACTCTGCTAGAAATCCGTTTTCTTTTCTCCTGAAACATTTTTGGAGATGAGCAATATTAATGGAAATGAATTGATAATGTCATCAATTAGACAGAATTGCTCAATCAACTCTGAACTGTAGCAGTATGTGCTCCAATGCTCCATGATTAATAATATTTTTGTATTGTAACAAATTCAGCCAATAAGATGGTGAGAATTATCGCCATGGTAATTTCACTGATGACATCACAGGCTTTTTCATGCATCAGACACAAGAATTGTACCATATAAAGAGACAGAGTTCCATAGATCTTCACCCACTTTTCATTGTGCGGCTTGTGAGGATTGTGAGAATTGTGAGGATTGTGAGAATTGTGAGAATTGTGAGGATTGTGAGGATTGTGCGAATTGTGAGGATTGAGGAAAACATTGTTTTGAGCAAAACCTGTTTGAGTAAACCAGAATGCCGAAACCAATGATCTATCATCTCAACAATGAGCTCTTTGACATCTTTCAGCAGGAGATCAAGGAGCTTCATCAAGATGTTGAGGCCATTACGATGGAGAAGTTCAACACAGAACGCTACTATGAAGACCTTCTCTCAGAAGAGAGGGAGGAGAAGCAGGCCTTGCTTCTGGAAATTCAGGAGCTTAAGGAGAAGCTGGAGAAAGCTGAATCCAAGGACCAAGGCCTGGTAGTCAGAGATGAGACAACATGCTGCCCCACAATGCAGCAACTCCAACAAGAAATGAAGGAGATGGAAAAGAGACACCATCAGGAAATTGAGATGCTCACCATTGAGTTTGAAATTGATATCGCTGTGGCTCAGAAAGAGGTGAAGAAGCTCCAGGAAAAGCTGAAGAGTGAAAATAATCTTGATGCAAAAAGTGATTCAGCGAAAAGGGAAGCCATCAAGATTCCCCTGAAATTCTGTTGCCACTGTGAAGGATTGAACAAAGTCTCGACTGAAACTTCAACAGAAATCAAAGTTCGAGATGAGGACATTCCTTATCTTGATGTCCAACAGCTTCAAGAAATGCTCCAGAGAGAGAGAGAGCTGAGGATTGAGGCTGAAAATGAAAATCTGGATCAATTTAAATGTACTGAGGCTTTCTTTGACATGATGGAGCAAGAACTGAAAACAGAACGAGAACTTAGGGCCCAAACTGAGGCAGACAAAGAGGAAGCAATAGAGATTGCAGAACTGATTAAAAAGCTCGAGGACGTGGAGAAAACATCCAAGGAGGCTCCAGCTGAGATCACTGTTGATGATCGGGACAAATTTGAACTGGAACGCCAAAAGCTGGAGAAAACCATCCAAGAAGAAAAAACACTGAGGGTCCAGGCAGAGAATTTCATAGAAGTATTGGACCAAGAACTGAAAACGGAGCAAGAACGGAGAGCCCAAATTGAGGCGGAAAAACAGGAAGCTGTGGAGATTAAAGAACAATTGATTAAGAAGCTTCAGGACGTGGAGAAAACCATCCAAAAAGAAAAAGCACTGAGGGTCCAGGCAGAGAATTGCATAAAAATATTGGACCAAAAACTGAAAACGGAGCAAGAACGGAGAGCCCAAATTGAGGCGGAAAAACAGGACGTTGTGGAGATTAAAGAACAATTGATTAAGAAGCTTCAGGATATGGAGAAAACCATCGAAGAACAAAAAGCATTGAGGGTCCAGGCAGAAAATTTCATAAAGAGATTGGACCAAAAACTGAAAACAGAACAAGAACGGAGAGCCCAAATTGAGGCGGACAAACAGGCGACTGTGGAGATTAAAGAACAATTGATGAAGAAGCTTCAGGACGTGGAGAAAACCATCAAAGAACAAAAAGCATTGAGGATCCAGGCAGAGAATTGCATAAAAATATTGGACCAAAAACTGAAAACAGAACAAGAACGAAGAGCCCAAATTGAGGCGGACAAACAGGAAGTTGTGGAGATAAAAGAACAATTGATTAAGAAGCTTCAGGACATGGAGAAAACCATCCAAAAAGAAAAAGCACTGAGGGTCCAGGCAGAAAATTTCATAAAAAGATTGGACCAAAAACTGAAAACAGAACAAGAACGGAGAGCCCAAATTGAGGCGGACAAACAGGCGACTGTGGAGATTAAAGAACAATTGATGAAGAAGCTTCAGGACGTGGAGAAAACCATCGAAGAAGAAAAAGCATTGAGGGTCCAGGCAGAAAACTGCATAAAAATATTGGACCAAAAACTGAAAACGGAGCAAGAACTGAGAGCCCAAATTGAGGCGGACAAACAGGAAGCTGTGGAGATTACAGAGCAACTGATGAAGAAGCTTCACGACGTGGAGAAAACGTCCAGAGAGGGTCAAGCTGAGATCACTTTGGATGATCGGGACAAATTTGAACTGGAACTCCAACAGCTGGAGAAAATGCTCCAAGAGGAGAAAAGACTTAGGATCCGAGGAGAGACTGAAAATGCTTCTCTCTTGAAAACGATAGAGTTTATTCGGCAGGAAGCAAACAAAAAACTGCAGAAAGAAAGAGCTCTAAGACAAGAGGCAGAAAGAGCTAAGCTGGAGTTGGAAAAGGTACGTGATCAACTTTACCAAGGTTTAGAGAAAGCCTGTAAGATAACAGCGACACTCTCAGATGAGACCAAACTCCTGACCAAGAAGCTTCAGGGAGAGGACAAGAAACAGAGATCTCTACTCAAAGATGTTCAGGAACTCACCCTCATGCTGGAAAAGGAAAAAACCCTTAGAATCGAGGCAGAGAACTACGAGATTGTAGAGGCTTTACAGAAGGAAGCAAAATATAGAACCTGGAAGAAAGAGAAACGCCATCACATCAGTGTTCAACGTCATTAAAGTAATGTGAATGGCCCCTTTTTGTTAGATTATTAGTACTTTGATTCATGTAAAAATTACTTATTTCACCACACCTGATTCAAATGATTGCATGACCTCCTCTGCAGCCACCAAATACTACAGAAGTCTGTCAATCAGGAGTTTGGTAGGAAGGAGACACTTAAATCATGTAGGGCCTGAGTTCTTGAGGACTATGGTTGAGTTCTTGAGGATTCCCGGTCTGTCCAATCTTTCCGAATGCGATTATGAGCGAGGAAGCTAAAGGAAACATTTACCTCAGCTTTGCATTTAACAAAAAAAATTAATCAGAATCTCATCTGAATGTCGTCTTTAAGCTGGACTTGCGGCCAGCTGAACTACCGCTGCGGCTGGTGGGATTTCCCCCCTGGAGCAACGCTTGATGCAGAAATATCCTTGTTCAGTCTTTACAACTTCAATCCAGCCCGGTCTGGCCGGCCCAATTGGAACCGCAGCTCTTGGGGTTCCAGGGAACTGGGTGGGACTGGGCTGGAAATGTTAACGCAAAGACGATCAGTCCTGCTTTTAAGCCAGACCGGCCCGAGTCAGTCAGACCGGTCCGGGTCAGACCGAGTCTGGCTGTGCAGTGCAAGAGGGGCCATAGACACATTCACTCCCTTCAGATACATTAAGTGGCTTGAAACACGCCATCCAGTGTCATTTTGTTTTAAATGTTGCAAGTTCTAAGTCAATGTTTCATTTTTATTGTACTTTTATTTTTTTTAAATGTTCACAAAACAAAAATATAAAAAGGACAGTTTTTTTTTTATTCGACATGGGATTCAGCCTCTTCACTGAAATATAAATAGCTCCTTGTGTTTGTTTCTGTTATAAATCATCATTGTATGTATTCAAATTTGTAATGTGATGTAAATAGTTGTTGATTGTGTTTGTCTTTCTTTTGAATGTTGCAGGTTTTATGTCAATGTCGCATTTGTATTATGTCCTTTTTATAAAAATAAAGGCTAAGAAACAAACAGAACAGAAAAACAACTAAACAAACACAGAAAAGATGGATGTATTCCTCCTCTTTACAGTAATGTAAATAGCTTCTTGTGTTTGTTTCTGTTCCATTTCATCCCAACTGACCGCCAGAGGGCGGTGCTGCAAGTGCCGAATGTTCCCTTTGTGCATGCGCCGTTCGAGCAATAATGTCAACAGTCACACCTGTGACATATTGGATGATCAATCAGAGGCTGTATAGCATGACATCATCCAAGGCTCTGTTCCTCTTTTCTTCTCGTGTGTGGTTTGTTTTGTATGGCATCGGCCTTTTAGGTTTCTGGAACTTTTCGCCATCGTTGGACGTCCGACTAAGTGTGTGAATGCAGCCCTCTCTCCTCTGCAGGCCCGCGGCACAAAGGTTCTACCATACCTCAACGAGTGGCTTCTCTGCACCCCATCTCAAGAGCATGCATCTTGCGATCTGAGTCACGTGCTCGCTCACGTGCCCCTCAAGGGGAACTTGGAGAAGAGCTGTCTAATACCTTTGCAGGGAACCACTTTTCTTGAAGTGCTTTGGATTCTCCCTCCATTCAGAGGATGGATGACTTTCTCCAGCTGGTAAGTCAATTCAAGCTGGGCAGGCATCTTCCTTATATCGCCTTCCTGCAACTGCTGGGCAAACTAACATCAGTTACTCGGAATGTGCCTTTAGGCCTGCTGTCACTGCGCCCTTTGCATAGGTGGATCAACAGCTGGCGCCTGGATGCCAAGCTGCACAAGCATCGCAAATTTATGGTAACATGGCCATTTCTGGGTGTCCTGAGTCCATGGAGAGACAGGGCCAATTTGTCCAGGGGTGTGTCCATGGGGGTGGACACCCCCATGGACAATCAATCTGAGGCTGTACAGATGCCAGCTCCACGGGTTGGGTGCTGTGTGGCAACACAGGGTGGTTCAGGGTCGCTGGTGTCCACAGGATGGATTGTGTTGGAGCTGTGGATTTGGCTCTCGGGCACTTTTTGCCCCACCTGGAGGGGAGGTATGTCTTGATTCGGTCAGACAACACCTCTGTTGTCTACCACATCAACCACCAAGGTGGCACCAGGTCAGCGCAGCTTCTGAAGGAATCCAGGAATCTCCTGGAAAGGGCGGCTGCTCACCTATTCTGAATGCGATTATGAGCGAGGAAGCTAAAGGAAACATTTACCTCAGCTTTGCATTTAACAAAAAAATTAAACAGAATCTCATCTGAATGTCGTCTTTAAACTTGCGGCCAGCTGAACTACCGCTGCCGCCCTGGCAGGCGATGTACCTGCCAGGGCTGCACAACCGGGTGGCAGACTCCCTTTCTCGACAGGCGCCAGCCCCGGGAGAGTGGTCCCTCTACAGCGACATAGTCCGCTTTATCTGGGACCTTTTCGATCAGGCAAAGGTCGACCTGTTCGCCACAGAGGAGTCAACTCATTGTCCTCTATGGTTTTCCCTCACAGGGGCTGCAGGTGCACTGGGCCAGGATGCCTTGGCCAATCCTTGGCTGAGGGTCCTCCTATATGCCTTTCCGCCCCTTTCCCTGATTTGGCTGACTCTTTTGAGAGTTCTCGAGGGGGGCCAAAGAATGTTGCTGGTGGCTCCATATTGGCCACCACGGCCAGGGTTCCCACTTCTATGGAGTCTGTGTCACAGTGTCCCATGGTGTCTTCTGATCAGGAGAAATTTACTCTCAGTTGGGGGGTCAGATATGGCATGCCGCTCCCCAATGCCAATGCTGTGAGTGTGGCCACTGGGAGACTTGAACAGCAGCTGATTGGGTATTCAGCTTCCGTCAGGCACACTATTTTGAGTGCCAGGGCATTCTCCACTCGTCAGCAGTATGAAAACAGATGGCGTCTGTTCTCCCGGTGGTGCTCTGCCCGTGATGATGATCTAGTCACCTTTGTGGTACCCACTATTTTGGAGTTTCTTCAGTCTTTTCTTGATAAGGGTCGCTCTCCTTCGACGCTCAAGGTGTATGTAGCGGCTATATAATCTGGTCATGCTGATATTGATGGCTGTGCAGGAGGATACCATACTCTGGTTTCTCTTTTTTTGCGTGGTGCTCATAGACTGCACCTGCCAACGGTTCCGCAAGCACCAGTTTGGGACCTGTCATTGGTCCTTAGTGCTCTGTGCAACCCTCCATTTGAGCCTTTGATTCAGGCAGACCTCAAATAGTTGTCATGTCGGACTGCTTTTTTGTTGGCTATTGTCTCAGCTAAGAGGGTCAGTGAGCCACATGCTCATCATGTCTCAGATGGAGTTCAGATGGGTCTGGTGTTGCCTTGCAGCCAAACCCGGTGTTTGTACCTATGGTGTTTTCTCATTCTCATTGTAACCAACCTTTGAGATTGGTGCGTTTTCAGCCTATGTCAGGGGAAGCTGGTGATAGTTCTGAGTTACTGTGCCCTGTGTACTGTGAGGGCTCTGGAGGCATATACTGCAGCCACTGCTGCTATAAGACGCTTGAACCAGTTGTTCTTGTGTTATGGGGGCTTTAAGTTGTCCTCTGTCCAAACAGCGTCTCTCTCATTGGATTGTGAATGTCATTTGCCACGCCTATGCCGCAGGGTACCACCCTCAGCCAGTCGGCGTGAAGGCACACTCTACCAGGAGGGTTTCCACTTCCTGGACAGCCTTGAGAGGAGTTCCACTGGAAGCTGTATGTGCTGCTGCATCATGGGCTTCTCCGAGCACTTTCACTAGATTTTACAGTGTGAATGTGGCCCCCTCTCATCCTCTAGACCAGGTCCTTTTACGAGAGTTCTCTGGGCCTTCTCAATGAGGTATGTGCTGAGGATTCTTTGTGAAATCTCCGGTATTAGTCATTCAGTGCTTTCAGCAGTAGGGATGAAATAGAACAAAAGTTACATATGTAACTACGGATCTATGAATCCCGGATGAAAGCCAGAGATTCTCTATCACTCAGAATCCTTGCATTTCGCGAGAAGATTCTGTAGGAACAGAGCCTCGAATGACGTCTCATGTGTTATGTGTTATGATATATAGCCTCTGATCATCCGATGTCACAGTTGTGGCTCTGTTGATATTATTGCTCGAATGGCACATGCAAGAAGGGAACATTCAGTGTTTTCAGCACCACCCTGTGGTGGTCAGTAGGGATTCATATGCAACTAAGTTGAAAGTCTTACAACATCATTATATGTATTCAAACTTTAATCTAATGTAAATAGCTGTTGATGTGTTTGTCTTTGTTTTAAATGTTGCAGGTAAGTTGCATTTTGTTGTCTTTCCTCCTCTTTGTTGAAATCGTAGGAGCGTTCAGCTTTAAAGGTGCAGGAAGTTGATGGGCCGAATAACATAAACTGACCTCGTCCACTCTGGCCTGCCTCTCTCGCTCATACTGCCTCCTCAGATCGGCGCGCTCCTTCTCTTCTGCCTCCTTCTTCTTCCTCTCCGCTTCTTTCCTCCTCTGTTCGGCCAGCTGGATCAGCTCCTCGTTCTTGGCCTTTTGCTGTGAGGCAGCAACACATTTAGAGAGGGATGTGCCAGGACAGGACGGACGGACACTGCAGGACGCCCCACCTCCATTTCTTTCCGTTTCTTCCTCTCCTGCTCCTCCTCGTACTCCCGCTGGATGCGGGCCCTCTGCTCCGCCAGTCTTCTCTCCTCCTTCTCCTCCTCCAGTCTCATTCGTTCCCTCTCCTCTGCTTTTTTACGTATTTTCTCATCAATCTAAGAGTAACGGCGCACCGCCAGTTAGATCCAGAGGACATAAACTGCTCAGTTTGCTGGTTATGTTTTTAGAAAAAGCAGGACTACTTTTCCAACTGTGTTGGAGTATTTTTTTTTTTTTAGCAGTTCAGAAAGCCGTTACCTGCTGCTTGAGGTAAGCTTTGTACTTGTCCTGCTCCTGTAGATGGAACTCACTGGGCTGGCTGGCAAAAACTTTACCTCTGGCAAACTGGGAGGTCTGGACATGAGTGAAGCCTGGGAGAAAACGAAGCGAAGAATGAAAATAGTTTATGTTCTAAAAGCAGACCAGAGGACAAAGAGTTTAGCTGGTAAACTTTGCAACAACACAATTTTTTTTACTATAATTTGACCTTCATTATCAAGTTTTTTAACTTTCTTGCTTAGATTTTACTTTTTGTAAAGGCTGCTCTTACTTTACTATCAACATGGTATACACATATTGTACTAAAACTAAACCCCTCTTTTCTTTAACATGCATGAACCCATAATCTGGTTAACAACTCAATCATCTGGGTTTGTTTGGATATTTTACCAATCTAAAACTTGCAGTACACTAGAATTCATTCAATTGACTTTATGATTGGGGCTGCACAGTGGAGCAGTTGGTAGCACTATCTCCTTGCAGTAAGAAGGTCCTGGCGATTCCCGGCCCGGGGAGTTTGCATGTTCTCCCTGTGCATGCATTGGTTCTCCCCGGGTTCTCCCTGGGTTCTCCGGCTTCCTCCCACAGTCCATAAACATGACTGTTAGGTCAATTGGGTGTGAGTGTCTGCATGGTTGTTTGTCCTGTCTGTTTCTGTGTTGCCCTGCGACAAGCTGGCGACCTGTCCAGGGTGACCCCGCCTCTGGAACGTAGCTGGAGACAGACACCAGCACCTCACGACCCCATTAGGTATAAGGGTAAACAGAAAATGGATGGATGGACTTTATTATTGGATTGAGTAGACAAGTGTATGTGATCAATTAAAAATAAGCATGAATTCAGTTTTTGAACCTTAAAATGGTCCTAGGAAGAGCTTAAAAATGCAAAAGGCAGAAATGGGAGTGAAACAAAATCTGAGAAACCATTTTGTTGCAAAGAAAAACAAACAAACTGAAATGGGGCGTTCATCAGCTGATCAAACACTTTAAAACGACAGAATTTAAAAGCAAAAGTTTTCGCAAAAATCTGATTCCAGAGTCACTTTCTGTCGTGACGTCCTGATGGCAAAAAGGTTTTCCCTCTTTAAGCACGGTTGTCAATCTGTGCTACATTAGCTGCATTTTCATTCATCAATTTGACCTTACAAAAGAAATTTGCTTTCAAATTTAGAAAAAAAAACTATCATTTTTCAATAAAACGTTCTGCCACTAGGTAGAGGTGGTTTTTTTTTTTTTTGTCATATTGATATTGTTTTGCTTCTCAAATCTTAAATGAAAACAAGCTTGTTCGCGTCACACGATCAACAACCAGATGCTGCCACCGGCACAAACCACAAAGAAGAAGTCGACAGGAAGTAGGTGGAGGATGATGTGTGACAATTACTTGTCACGTGAACAAACCTATTCATGTGTGATTTAAGTTGCGGTTAGTTTCTTATTTAACAAAAACGCCGCAGTAGCAAAATGATATTTTTCCAACATTATATGTACAGTTTTGCACACATTTGTCACAGAAACAGAGCTACTAAGAAACTGAGTTGACATCAATGTAAACCAAAAGCTAAACTGGGAAAAAGCATCTCAGCGATCTACGGAAAAAAAATAAAGCACTGATTTTCATCAATTGGAATAATGTCATTTTTTGCAAACGCTTTACTACAACTTGAGTCTCAGAGAATCCTGGTGGGTTAAAGGAGTCGGTTAGAAAAGCAGGAAGGAGGATATCTACCAGGCAGCCTGTCAGCAGAGTTGAAGCTGTTGGTCTGTGTGACCCTGGCGGCAGGTTGAGGCTGCTCTGCCAGGCGGGTCGTCATGGCAGCCGTGGCTCTCCTCTGCCACAGCTCCGGGTTGCTGTAAGCCTCTTCGTTCAACCTGTGCATCTGCTTGAGGTCAGCTGGGCCGATGGAAAACCCAGATGAGGATCAATGGAAACTTCCTCATACTTTTTTTTTTCTTCACAAAAACAAAGAAAAGAAATCAGGACTCACCGATGAGGTTTCCCATGGTGTCCCTCAGAGGAGCTCCTCCCCCGCCTCTCCCCCAGGGCTCGTGGTTTTGCATGTCGGCCTCCAGCTGGGCCTCCAAGCGCTCTCTCTCTTCCCTCTCCAGGCGCCGCCGCTCCTGTTGCTCCTGGATCTGCAGCATGGCACGACTCCGTTACGCAACACGACAAAGGACAACTGGGTTCAATTCCCGGCCCGGGGTGCAGAAAGACACGTCATGTTGTTAGCTGCACGACACAATGTCCGTTGTCGTATCGCGTATCCTAATTTTCACTCATAATCTAAAGTTGACTTCTGAATGAATTAAGTTAATATTAACCATTATGCTAGTGTAAGACAACAGGATAGTGATAGCACTTATGCTAACATTAGCTAATTTTGACTTAAAAGCTCAAGTTGACTTAATGACTGGATTACAATTACTTAACTAAATATAACCGTGATAACATTTAAGCTAACATTAGATTAGCCAATTTTGACTCAAATGTTAAAGTTGACTTAGGGAAAGATCTAAGTTAATGTTTCCCAACATGCTAGTGGAAGCCAAGATGATCTTTGATAATGACCTTTTAAGCTAGCACTTGCTTTTCAGCTTACTTTGACTCAATCTGAAGCTAACTGAATGGATTAAATTAATGTTACCCAACATGCTAGTGTAAGCCAAAATGATAGTGGTAGCTTTTTAGCTAATGCCAGATTTTCAGCTTATTTTGACTAAAGTTAACCTACTGAGTGGATTAAGGTAATGCTACCCTACATACCAGTTTCAGCCACCATCATTCCTGGCAGTTGATCTGATCCAGCAGATTTAATTGTTTGCACTTAACAAACGTCACAAACATTTTAACTATCTAAAAGGGAATTTGCTCCACCCAACTGGTCAGGCAAAAATAAATCTGATCTGAGAAGTAACCTGGAAGAGCATGGAGCAGTATGTCATGTCTAGGGAACGTAAGCGGTATGAAGATAGGATTGAAGAGGATCTGGGATATTGAACATCTAAATGAGGGCAAAGATCTCAAATATTTCTATTGGCTAATAGAATAGGCTCTAAGGACACAACTTTCCTCTATCATCTATCCTTATCTAAATCCATTTTACCTTGGTGGAAGGAATGTTACTCCCACTCCTGCAGTCTTCCTGTCAACATATCACACACTATGTAATGAGCACATAAACATCCCAACCATGACGATCCAACTGGGTGATGGTAACACTAATGCACTATCCTAATAAGTGAAAAAAATGGACTTTGTAGTATATTTGGATAGATTTCTCCCTACCTGTTGTTTCAGAGCATCTCTGTAGCTCAGAATCCTTTCCCTGGAGCATCTGGACCTCTCTGAGGGGAAGTCTCCGATATGCGAGTCTGCAACAGCAGATTCACTGCGGCACCTGCCAGAACCGTTTCACAAAAACAATGACTGGAGTCAAAGACTGTGTTCTTTCTGAGGTTCTATGACACGTTAGTGTCCTTACTTTAATGGAGGCTCTGGAAAACTATAGCCACTATGCTGGCTGTGAGGACTGTGGTTCCCCAACTGGCTGGGCACAGCTCCCCCTGGTGGCACATTCCAGTAGGACGTGGGGATCCCAGCATTAGGAGAAGGAAAATGTCCATCTGGGAAGAGATCAGAGATACTGGGTTGATCCTATAACTAGAGATGAGTCTTTCAGTGTCGATTTTATTCCAATTCAATTCAGAAATGAATAGTTTTAAATAGACAATTTGTATCAGTTTATAGTTAAAAGCAGGTTTGTGCATAAAATTGCATAAAATTCTGTAATTTAAATGATCAGTATTATAACAGTCTTTTTCTTAAACTGTAAAAAAAAATACTCAAAATATATAAAATATATTAAAAATACTGCAGTGTATTTGCAAATAGGAGCGACAAAGACATAAAAGTAAAATGCTCAGAGGAGGAACTTTTCCCTGTAAGGCGGAGACAGGTCCACACAGGCGTTTCACTCACAGGCGTTTCACTCACTTGCACAGTTTCCATTCAACTGTGCGAAATCCTGTTTGAGGATTTTGCACATTTGAACTCTGACAAATCCTTTTGCATTAAAGGATTTTTCAAACATGCATGTAAGAATCTAGGTAACTCCAGGAATGTTTTTGATGAGGGATTAACATTGTAACATGATATAAAGCTCAAAAAAGTTAATTTAAGAGAATACTGCCCCTATAAGTTTCCTGCAGTGCACTTACAATAGTCCATATTTGGGTCAAGGAGGTTCTTGTTTCCGTAGTACTGATGGGGTTCTCCGTATGGGGTTCTGTAAGTTTCCCTGAGTGAAGAGGGCGGCTGAGGGAGGAAGGGGTTGTTTCTGGAAGAACCCAGACAGACAGTGAGTTAGAGCTTCATAACAAGACCAAGCTTTTATTGTTAAGGAGTCCAGTGAAGTTCCCATTATACCTGTGTGTCTCAACAGCGTTTGTGGACAGGCTGCTGTGCTGGCTGCTGGGAGACAGATGTCCTTCCCCCAGGCCCAAAGCGGAGCTGTACTCCAGCAGAGGGGACTGGAAGGCAACATGTGGCAGCCCGGGAGGAGGCATGTCCCTTCCTCTGGCAGCTCCCTCCGCACTGGCTGCGGTTCTGGATGATGAGCCACTCTCTGCTGTCGTTGAAGGCTCAGTCACAACAGGACTTTCCCTCCTGCTCAGACCCAACTGTCTGATTCGGTCTGGCTGCAGCGGGCCGGACAACAAATTTATCAAAAAATGATTCAAAAGAAATATGCAGTGATTTGAGCCCAGACTGTCAGTGGCGCCACCACAAAAAGTTCATAGAGGTGGTCAGACAAGGCGAGAATATATTGTAGCAGGATACAGCAAAAAAATTACTTGTATATAATTATGTGTTGTATTGTATTATATAATAATTGTTTGGTTTTACATTTACATCTTAGTTGAAGAAAATGATTTGTATTATTTTCCATGACATAAACATGATTCTCTGGGATGGCCAGCCTTTCTCAAGCAGGGGCCCTGGCCCCCAATGGCCCCCTACTTGGGGGCGCCACTGCAGACTGTATATCATGTGACAGCTGACCAGTTTCTCAGGGTCGTTCGCTCCTGTCGCAGCAACCTTCAGCTCCAGATCTTTTTCCCTGCAACAACACATGCAAACACATCATGTTTCTACAAACATACAGTTAATCTCTGAGGGTACACCATCAAACAGTGCTGTTCATTTTCTGTTCATTTTCTCACTTTATAACCACTATGAATCTTAATGCATTCATACAGAGTCCATTTGGTTCAATACATAACAGAGCTAAATAGAGAAAACTCTCTATATTGATGTATATATCAGCATATGATGATTATTCTTAATGATTTGACAAAATGTAATGTTTATTGCTTATTTTGTAATTTGTTACTGTATTATGTTATTGTATCAAGCGCTAGTGGTTGATGAAATGCTACAGACTTGAGGAGATGTGTATACTTCTGCAGGGCGATGTACCTCTTCCTATTGCGGTGCTGCTCAGCTATCTGCTCTTGTAGCTCCTGTCTGTAGCGCTCCTTCTTTCTCTGCAAAGCCTCGTTTGTATCGGCCGCTCCTGAACGCATAACGAGAGCAAGCTCAACTCTTTATTCTTAGGGAACAAGTCACAAGATTTAATATCTGAAACACTGGATTTTACATTTTTTATTATGAAAAATGCTCATTTACAGTTATTGCTTAAAAAAACAAACAAAAAAAAGAGCAGAAAAGTCTCGTTACCTATTATAAGTCCAGTCACAAAGTGACTATTCCCGTTTTTTCGGAGGTCAGGTTGGAGCTGCAGGAGAAACCACGTCGTTAGAAATCACCAAACAGAAATAATTATAATATCGGACAAACAGGTGATTCCCACTGTGAGAAGCGTTAAGGTAAATCGATTCACTAAATCTTGTAGTTTTCTTTCCCCAGACACATGACCTGCGTGCGGGGCTGCACAGTAGAAACCAGCCCAGGGTCTTTCTGCATGGGGTTTGCATGTTCTCGCTATGCAGGCGTGGGTTCTCTCTGGGTACTCCGGCTTCCTCCCACAGTCCAAAAACATGACTGTCAGGTTAATTAGTCTCTCTAAATTCTCTTTAGGTGTGTGTGTGTGTTTGCGTGTGTGCGTGCATGGTTGTTTGTCATGTCTGTCTCTGTGTTGCCCTGGTGACCTGTCGATAGTGAACCCTGCCTCTCGCCTGGAACGTTAGGAGATAGCACCAGCAGCCCTCTTGGGGAAAATGGGTGTTAGAAAATGACCTGTGAGTGACTGACTGAAAGAGGCAGTAACCTGAGCCATGTAGCGTCTGTAGTCCATCCGCAGTTCATGCTGCAGCCGGTGTTTCTTCTTCTCATACTCAGCACCGAGCGGCAGTCCAACGCTGCAGCTCTCATCTGTCAAACACACCCAGCAACTTGAAGCAGAGACAAATTGTGGGCAAGGTTTTATGCTGAAAACACAACCCACTCACCCATTTAGGAAAAATATGAGCCGTTTTTTCATCAAACAAGAGAGATAACTCCAAAGAAAGTTGACAGATTTCCTGTCTTTTTTTAAGTCAGTATTAGGTTTTCCAGGCACTTAGTGCTTTTTTAAAGCACACTGAAGCAACTGTGTTGCCTTCATTTGTTATAGACAATACCTGATATATCAAACATGACTTGAAGGAAATTTGACATAATTTATCATCTTGAAATTGGCCTCTGTCTCTTTAAGAAACTCCTGCTCTTTCTGAAGCTCCACCTTCAGGAAGTCATCAGAACATGGCTCCTTTATTGTGTAACAGTCAGTTACACAATAAACTGTTTAACCAATTTTACCGTTGTGGCACTGAAAAGTAGCCTGAATAAAGTAGCTCAGCAGTTCCAGCAGGTGTTTGCTAATTGCTGCTGGCTAGTCTGAGTGGAGTTGTTGCGAGAAAGAGATGCTCTGTGAGGCAGAAGTTCAGTAGGTTGGAAACTGAAGCTCCGTGAAGGCGGAGCTAGGTCCACCTAGGCATTTTGCACAGCTGAATGGTAGCCATGGAGATTAAAGGCTTTTCCAAACATGCGTGAAGGAATCAAGGCAACACTCCAGGTATGTTTTTGATTAGGGAACAACATTATGACATGATGTAAAGCTCAAAAAGTTGACCGCTCCTTTAAATTCGTTGAATGTTTCCAAATTTCTTTATATTTTGTGTACAACAACAATAAAAAAACACCTTTTCCTTGGATGGTAATCCTCGGAGGGATGTTCTCTTTCACAGTGGACCCATAGGCTCTGCTGGGTTTTGCCTGTCAGTCAAAACCAGAGGAAGCTTTTTGATTAAAACGTAAGACACGATTGCTAGTTTTAACAGAAAATATATGTTAAGTTTTACAAGCATAACATAGAATTTGATTTAAGTAGCATTCATAATCATTTCATATATTTAATAGTGTGTTAAAACAGCAGGGAATTCTGGGAATTTTAAGAGTGAAATTTCACCATGGAAGGTGTGAAGGGCAGAACAGCCATGGCCACCTAGTAGAAAAAATCTGCAGCATTAGTGTTTGTTGTGATGGTTTATAATGTCAACTTGTTCTGCAGAAGGCTCTGATACATATTAGCACTTGAACTGTATTTTAAACAGCTAATGTTAGCAGTTAAACTACTAAGAAGCCACAAATTACAACATTTGTGCTCCTGCCAGGTTTGGCCATGACTACATGTGTTACACAAACAAGCATCTATTATTTACGATTTTACGGTTGCAAATGTGTCCTCGCCAACTTGATATCATTTAACCTTTATATGTCCCAACAGGGCCTTGAAGAGACAAGTTTATAGGAACAATTGTAGCAGACTTACCCTCATTTCCATGTAGGGAGGGTCCTTTTCTAGACTGGCCTTATCCGCGGCCACTCGCGCCTTGCGTTCTCTGATGAAGTTCTCCAGCTCGTCGTCCATTTCCCTCAATAGAAAGTACTCGAGAAAGCCAGGATATCAACCGGTTCACATAACTATCTAAAGTGAATATGGAAAGAGAGCTTCTTAGCGACGTTTACATGGGCTTAAGCGCTCAGGCGGTTACTGTCTCTTTAAATCTCCGTTGTCAGGCAACGACAATGGACAGCATCACATTCTTCACAGAGATTCAGCTAGTTTAGCCGCCTTGTCTAACGACGAGGCTCGCCATTTCTTCTGCCTTACATTACCAGCTACATGTTAAAGTGTCAAACAATAATAATGAGGAGAACGTTTATTTAAAATTAGCTTAAGTTTATCTTGGCTAACCCGTTAGCTTTATTCAAAAGCAAAGCGAGTCAGCGTGAACTGTACGGTAAATAAATCAACAAGTTATTCTTAGTAATTAGAAACTTCTTTTTGTCCTTGTTAGAATTGCCTTTCTACCGCCAGAAACTTAAACAGGCTTACCTTTAGCGGCACCTGAGCTCAAGAGGTTTGCCGAATTGGCGTAGCTTTTGCACTTTTACGCTGTAGCACAACAGTTTTAGAAATCGAAGTACTTCCGGTTTAGGTTTTTGACTATCAAAATAAAAGCCCATTCTTTGAATCCACTTGTACTTTTCCAAATATATTTAATAAATAGTTATTTTGAAAATAATTTAAAAAAGCACAACGTGAAAGATAACGCACATAAACATAATACATAAAAAAAACACACAAGATAGGCAGTAAATACATAGCACATCCCACTCCCACCAAATAAAATTCTGCATAGAATGACAATTTTTGTTTTTGCACTTTTGGTTCAGAATATGAATAACTTGACAGTTATTGAATATTGCTATTCATGTCAAGATGTGGATTGTCAACAATATCAGTGCAGCCCAAATGTTTCAAAAAAAGTCATATTGAGTAGTTTGATTTTCAGTAAATAGTTGCTTCACTTTTACAATATTGTTCTCAACACATCTGATTATCTCAATTGTTCCATGTGTTTGTGTCCCCACAATCAGCTTCACAAGACGTGGAAGCTTATGGATTAAATAAGCTAAATTGAGCAATTTCTGAAATGTAGCAACATTAGCTCTAATGCCATATTTACGACGGTATTAGTTATTGCAGATAAAGAAAAAAGGTCTAAACTTTCATCCAAAAGGCTCAGAAAATTTTAGATTAATAGAAATTGCAGAGAAAAAATGTGGAGTTTCTAAAGCTGGAAATTTGATAGAAAAAAAAAATTACATTTTGAGATTATTCATATATTTTCTAGAACAAAAAGGAAATTGTTCTTTTTAATTTAATTTAAAAAGAACAGGATAATTTTCAAGAAAATATAATGGAAATTTTCCAATTTTGAAGCTCAAAATTGTTCTAGTTTTTTCTAGGAACTTATTCATTTTGGCAGAAATGTACTTTTATGTTTCCATCTTTTTCATCAGTTGTTATAGTTTCAGAATTGCCATAAGACAGAAATATAGTCCCAAATACTGAAAATTTAATTTGTAATATTTTAAAGAATTTATCAAATTATTAATTATACATTAAAGAAAAGAAAAAAAACTAAATTGTACTCCCTTTTCAATATATAATAAAAGGAATGCAAGTCATCACATTTTGTTTGTCATTTATTGCTCATATAAACGCTCTCTAAATTATTTTTTTGGGTAAAAATAAAATCTATCAATAATAATCATAAATAAAATCATCACAATGACATTCACATGAAATTATATTGCACAATTCCAAGTCTCAACAAGTATCACAGAACACAAGTGTTGTTGCTCAGGCTGTGTGTAGGAATGTTCAGAGGTCAGAGTGCTGAGACTTTTCCTGGGGAACGGAAGATCCAAACTCCGTCATCGATCCGGTCCGCTTTTTGATTATTTATTTATTTATTTTCAAATCACCTCCTATCATGTGCAAACATTAAGATTTTCACTTCAACTTATGAGATTTACAGCAGAACATTTTGTTTTTAGTATCGATTTGGAATGTCTGTGTCTCCAGAACACAACTAAATAAACATAAAAAAAGGAACAAAAAAGACGTGTTACATAATCTCACAAATTAAGTGATTGTTGTTTAGTGAACGTAGTGATTGTTCTTTAGTGAACGTGGCTCTTTTTTACAGATACAACTAGTGATCTTGTTGAACGAAATGAAGTGCCAGCTCCTCGTTTCAGGCCGCTGTGAGCTCGGTTTGCCGTCATTTCACAGCCTTCACCACCCAAGCTCAGACATTCACCTCATAACGCCTCACTTCCTGTCTCTCGCTTGGTATTCTGTGTCAGCAACAGAAAGGGTGAGGAACAGATGCCGCCGGTGGAGCCACCCTAATTTCCCCCGTTCCGCTTGGTGAACCAGGGATGTTCTATGTTTGTGCTCAGCTATTCTCTGCTGCTGCTCTCAGTTCAGGACAGAGCTCCTTCAGCAGCATTTCCATCAACACCTGACACAGAAACACAGGCCGAGTCATTACACATAGCTCTTTAGCTTTGGATAATAAAAATACCAGAATCTACTTTGACGCTTCGCGTGTCCGTCTTACGTAGATGAGATGTTTGTTGGCGTTGGCTTCCTGCAGGGCGTTGAAGATCTTGATGATTCCAAAGCGAGCGTTCTGCTGGCCGACAAGGTTTGCTAGTGCATCTGATCAAAACAAAAACACATATCTGTCCATATGTGCAATAAGAAAATGACAAATTACTGAATACAAATTCTAGCAAAAGTTTTCAAAGTCCTAGAATTAGGCCCAGAAAACATGCCAAGCCTGGTGGTTGGGCATCCAGGAGCCCGTCGTGTTTTTGAGTTAAAAAATGTTTAAAGTTGACAGGAAATTTGAAAATATCACTTGATAATTATGAGCTATCAAAAGTTTGGAAGATTAATACCTGATCACCAAATATAAAGTCTTTAAAAAAATTCAAAACATTTTAAAAAGACAAAAAAAAAAAAAAAAAAAAAGAGTAATGATTAGCCTGGCGGGAGCACAAGATAAGCCTGGTGGCCCGCAAGGCTTATAATACTCTGGGGGTGAAACACTGGAGTGCACAAGTTAAAAAAATAAAAAAAAGAAGCAGAAAGAAAAATACAGATGTTCCAATAATTCAATCTTCAAAAGTCTAAAGATTGATGAATTAATAAAATTGATTTATCACCAAGCTGTACCTTAGTCTTAGCCAGATATTCTCATGTTCCAAAGACAATGCTGTTGTGATAAACTAACAGAAATAAGTGTTTAATTGTGAGGTGCAGCAAATCAGTTTAATAATAATGAAATTCCATTTTATCTTGCAGTTGTGAATAAATTTGTGATGGTTTTCCATACTGGACATCAGCAGAGGCCTGTGAAATCAGCAGCTGAAATGTCAAAGTGGAAGAGGAAGTCAAAGTGGTACACAGGAAGTTTCCAGACATTGCTACCTGGAATGTTGTCCAGGAGTTTCTGCTGAGCCCGCTCCTTGGTTTCGCTGCGTTCTGAGTCGGTCCGGGCCTTGGCGTGAGGCGCCAGCTTCCCGTTAGGCCAGAAGGTGTCCCTGAACACGCTGATGTAGCACACCAGCATCTGCTCGCAGAAGAGCCAGTTTACTGTGTCCCGGATCTGTCTGAGGGAAGGAACGCGTCATGTTAGTGCTGATCACAGACAGACGAAAACCCAGAAAGAACCCCACGAAAAAAAGCCAGTATTTACTTGTTGATAGTTCGTCCAAATGTAACCTGGACTAGTGCAATTAGAGTCTTCCTCACCCACTTAAACACTTAGCAGGAAAATGAGACAGAAAAGCAGTTAGATGAATCCACTCTGACGTGATTTAAGGTCATCATTCTGTTAGCGTTAGCTGCTCACTTCCTCTGAGTTCAAAGATTTCCCCGATCAGCATGAAGCAGGGCTCAGCCAAGGCATTTCTGCGCCCGTCCGCTTCGTCGCCATAGTCCGACAGGTCGCTGTCATCGTCGCCGTCCTCCTGCAGACAACCAATCACAGCCGCGACAGGAAGGGTGAAGCTAAGCATCTCAAATTATCATCCGACCTGCTGGGAAGACAGCACATACCTCAGTGTGGGAAAAGAAATCTCCAGGTAACCTCTCCAGAAAGGAGGCCAAAGAGAAGGAGGACTTCTTCTGAATAGACATCACCTGAAATGCAGAACGGCACAGGAAGCCACGGTTTGAAAAAAAAAAACAAAAATGTGTGTTTTGACTTCAATTTGGATGAAGAGACGATGTTACTTTGAGGTACTCAGGAGACGGGCTGAGGAAGGCGTAGAGTGCCTCCGACTGGCACAGTCGTTCATCTGTCAACAACCGCTGCAACAGAAAATGCCAGTTATCGTCAACAGTGCTTCAGTGGTTTAGAGTCAACATAAAGTTAAAGATTCAAGATCTGATTTCCCACGGTTACATGAAAGAGACATTTGGTTGTTCAGTAATGTATCTTGTCGTATAAAAAGCCAGATTTACAAGGTGTGGAAAATAAACAATCGCCATCCATCAGTCTTACTACAGTAAATCTGTTTTAAAACAGGCTACATGAGCTGATAGTCCAACTAATCAGCTGGCTAACATCAGATTTATTTGTTACAGAGCAGCACAGTGAGACTAAATATTAATTGCTTACCAACATAACCTTCAGAAACTCTCCTAATGTTTATATAGTGGGAGTCTTAAGCACACTTTAAACACACACACACAGTGAACTTTACCTGGAGGAAGGCATTGAGCTGAGTCTTACTCTTCTCCAGAAACTTCTGGTCGATGGATTTGAAGGGAAGTTTACTGAGCGACGGCAACTGGAGTTTCTTCAGACATGGAAAACACTGAGGAGGCCAAATGGAAAATTATTATTGTATTTATAACAGGCGTATAACATGAGCCTTTAAAATATGACTGTAATTAGTATAGACTGTTAAGAATATTAATAGTGGCTTAATGCATTTTCATGTCTGCATAACTTCTCATAAGAATTTTTTTACCAGAAGTGTTCAGTGAGAGTCAGACGAGACCTCATCACAAACGAAACACAGAATAATGCGGTCGTGAAAGAATATAATTTATCTGATTTTCGCAAAACAGTTCTGATTTCCAAATCAATTACAATGCAACAGAAATTATTAACAGGGATAAATGAAGATTGTAGCAGCTGTACCTCGGTGAGTTTGCGGTGTAACATCTGGAACTCGGTGAGTTTCCTCTGGACGCTCCAGCAGCTGTTGGCCGTCTCCTCTCCTTCCGTCAGGCTAACACACACGCTGTAACAAGCTACGGTCTCGCCGCCTTCTTCTGCCGCCTGAAACCATAAAAAAATAAAATAAAATAATAATCAGGGTCCCGAGGGTTCTGTATGAGCGGTGAGGAAAGTGGGCGTGGTTACCTCGGCAACAGTGATGCTGGCCCTCCAGTGACCCAGGTTCTCACACCACCAGTCGGTCCTGGTGATGTGCTGCTGCAGCTCGCTGTGCTCCTTCTCCATGGCGCCGATCTCTTCTTTTAGTTTGCTCACGATCTGCAGAAACACACAGAGACAACCTTCAAGAATAGGGAAAAAATAAAAATCTGA